GAACACATTTCTGGACAAGCAGATGAATAAATCAACCTTTGAGCTCTGAAACTTTCAAACAGATGTTTGTTGAAATACTATTCATCCCAATGTAAAATTAGGTCACTATTAACATGCTAGCAACTGAAATATTTGAGGAAATGTACATTTATTTTTCCTGTAGTTTTCTTTCATATATATGGTTCATATTTTCAGTCTTTTGCCACTAGTCTTGCCTGCAAAGGAGGCATTTTTTCATTGGGTTATTTGGAAACACACCTGTTTAATGGTTAGAATTTCTTCCTGTCTGTTTAGATTTACATTGTAATGGATGTTTTTTAAGAGTCAGTTGAAATGGCTGTGTAATTGGATGAGGATGTGTAATATCACATTTTTTCTTTTCTTGTGCTTAATCATCGCATATCACTTATTACTGCTTGCTGTAAGTTTTCATTTGACAGATCATTATCTTTTTCATATAGCTAACATGTGAGTTTGACAAACAGTTGTAGTTTTCAAACAGCTACTCTTATTTTTGGAAAACAATTTTAGCCAGCAGATATCTATTCATAATTTTGGAAAACAATGTTAGCAAGCACTCATTGTTTCAGAAAACAGTTTTAACTAGCAGACACCTACTCCTATTTTTTTAAAACCATTTAAATTTTCTCTTAGCCTAAAGCAATCAGAGCAGAAAGCTACTTATAATTTTGTAAAACTAATTTAATCTTTGCTAAACCAAAAGTAATCAGAAGACCTTTACACAACTCCATTTCAGAAATTCTTAAGTACAGTGGGAAAAAAGGGAGAATTTATCAGAAAATGGTTGAAACCTCATTTACATGGCACCAACTTACACTGGGTTAAATACTGCCATCAGTGACCTTTTTGATGTGTCTGTTATTATTTACACAAATAAAAGAATGTTTCTAATAGTTTCAAACTGACATGGAGAAAGTTATAAGGATTTCACTAAAGATGAAGTCACCTCAGTTTAATAGTAAACAAAATAATGATTTTCATGATGTGTTAAATTACATTAATTTTTGTAGTTAATAAAGTACCTTTATATGAAGTGATGGCTTCTGTAAAAAATCTGAGGCATGTTTCTGATCATTAACAAGAAGGTTGGATTGTTTTCCAATATGTAAGTCGGTCAGTTAGTCAAAAGTAGGTCCATTTTAGTATTAAACAAATCTGTATAAAGTTTTTGTTTGAGATTTAGAATATATATATTGAATTAATATTGAAGACATTTATATCCAGGCAGGACCTAGAAAATAAATGTTTATTAAAATCTGAGTCAACAATCTAAAATGTTGATGTCCAGTCAATCACCACCACTCCAACATTCTGGAATAATTGTAAGAAAAGTAGAACATGAATGAAGAAAATACCAGTTTGATTAAAATCTTCATTTCACAAAATTTTTATGATACTGTAACAAAACTGATGGCAAGAACAGTAATACAAATATATTTATTACAGAATAGTCATCAGCTCAGTTTACATATCACTTAGCAGTACAAGGGAGACAACTTTCTATAGTCTGTTGAAATCGGCAGATTCATTTGTTTGGTAAGCTACCAAAACTTTCAGAGATTTTGTTTAATTTATCACATTCTTTAACCTTTTTCAGGTGACTGCAAATTTAATTATGCAAATGATGATTTAAATATAAATATATCTGTAAATATTTTGTTATTTTTGTACATATTGCTGTTAAAATCTAAGATAATTAAATTTGTTCAGATGCTTTTGTAAGAGTTAGCTTCATAATAATCTGAATATTCATTATTTAATGCCATCACTGCCCATTTTTTTAAAAATAATTTCTTTACTGTTCAGCTTAGGTTAATGCATTGCAACACTGTAAATGAGAATTCTGCTTTCATTTACATCGATTACCAAACTTTTCAGAATGAGAATAAAGCCATACATATGACATTATAACATAATTTAAGTACCACTACTTGACTTTTTATTTTCTGCTTATGCCTCTAATGTTTCCAACAAGGGCATCTTGAATTGGTGCTGTCTGCCAATTTGTCTGCATGGAAAGCATGATGAACCAAAAAGCAGTAATTTGGTCACTGATGCAAGTGACTCAATACAATATTGTCATAATACAGTCAATATTAACTCGTGTTCTTGTCATTTTTCAAGCCAGTATTATCTGGTGTCATTGGATGGTGTCAGTATTTTTTGGTGTCATGTGTTAGTAATAACTCGTGTCCATTGTCACATGTCAATAACAATGGGTCCTTTGACACATATCAGTAATAATTGAAGTCTTTTGTCATATGTCAATAATAACTGAAGTCTTTTGTCACATGTCAATAATAATTGAAGTTTTTTGTCACATACCACTAACAACTATTTCCCTTTGCAAGGAATCAATTTTGCAATAGGTGAAGATTATTTGAAAAAACATACATTTATCAACTGCACTTTTATGTACTATATTGTACATGGAATATCCTGTGCTACTCAGAAAATATAAAGCTGTTTGATGTGTTGATGTATTACTACATTTCTAGTCGGTACATTCTGCCTATATGGAATAAGATTTGGGTTTTGTTTGTACATCTGAAACCAGAAACAATGTTCCATTTTGCTTGAGAAAACTATATATAGCTCCTAGAAAGTCGATAATGACATAATTCACCTCAATGCTGAACAGACTTTGAATACTTTATTTGTAGTATACTATCACACTATTGTATGGAAAATTTTCTTGGAATATTTCATTAGCATGTATCAAGTTTTGCATTTATGTTTTTTTGTATTTTATTACATGTATCTACTTCATGTAAGTAAAGATTTTTATTGATGAGGAGGGAGCTTAAATTTGTTGCTGAATAATATTGTTGTTGATGTCATACTAGTCCATCTGTCAATTTACCCCGGGGCAGATGGGTTATGGGTTTTCAGGTATTATAAGGATAAGGTCACCATGGTAATGGGTTACATGATCCAATTTTTGATCCAGTCTGGCACTGTATATTTGTATGAACTTTTTTATGATGATATTGGAAAGTAAATAGTTAAACCAACAAGTTAACACAGAAAACTACAAGGGTTTCTAAACATCTTAATCCGTTGTCATTGAGTATAGGTTAGCCAAAGTGACAATGGTGAGGCAAGCTGACTTGACAGTTTATCATTTCACACAAATTCATTGATATCAGGTGAACTATTAGTCCTACATGTAAGAACTCAACGCTGATATTTATGTTTTGTGCATCTGGGTCTTACTGCCTGTTTTGATGTCTACTAACATCGACTAACATCGTAATGAAAGTCAAATTTTCAGGAATATCCTACACAACTGGCAACCAATAACAATGTTTCTTTACAAAGTAAACTCATTATGTTTTAGTTAGACTTTACTTACTCTGATGTCGTCTCTAATAAATTCAAAATCTCACAAAAGAAATGGACATGTTTTCAAGTTTCATTAGCCTTTATTTCATTTGGCTTGAAAGCAAAGTAGGGAAATGCAGAATTGGGTTAAGTTGAAATATTATTCTTTAACAAAATGAATAAACATATATTATGCCTATTGGAACTGTAAGCAACATTTTGTTTCATTCAAAAAACATATCTCCCATATGAATCTACTTGAACATACTTCAGCATACTTGGACTACCATAGTATTTCAACAAATTCATATGTATGTAAACCGAACATGAAAATGCGTCCTTTTGCTAGTGTCAGATTTTAAATTCCACCAGGATAAAAAACAGCACAGTAAGAATATTAATATCAATTTGTGGAAGAGTGTAGATATTCCTAAAACATTGACTACTCATTCCGACATCAACCAACATCAGAACATGTTATACAAGGACGTTATTTGGGTAGTAAGATGTAGCACTAAACCATAATTAACATGATATGTCTTACATTGTATGACTAGTAAAATATAAAAAATATTTATTGCTGGGCAAGAACCTGATAGGGACCAATTATTTGTTGATATTGACCATACACAATGCACACCCACCACCATATTTATCTTCTTACAAAAAATGGTATGAATTACAAGCATAGATAATTTCATATTTTACATTTTCTAGCCGATTAAAAGTATTTGCCACATCAGCTTATGTTATGTCCAATGTCAGCCAATTTTGTCTTATGTCAATTTTAACTCAACTTATCAGGAAGCATCCTGGCATGAATGCCTGTCTAGTTTATGCCAACAACATCAATCTGGCATGAATGCCTGTCTAGTTTATGCCAACAGCACCAATCTGGCATAAATACCTGTCTAGTTTATGCCAACAGTACCAAACTGGCATGAATTCCTGTCTAGTTTATGCCAACAACATCAATCTGGCATGAATGCCTCTCTAGTTTATGCCAACAGCACCAAATTGGCATGAATGCCTGTCTAGTTTATGCCAACAGCACCAAATTGGCATGAATGCCTGTCTAGTTTATGCCAACAGCACCAAATTGGCATGAATACCTGTCTAGTTTATGCCAACAGCACCAAATTGGCATGAATATGTGTCTAGTTTATGCCAACAGCACCAAATTGGCATGATCGCCTGTCTAGTTTATGCCAACAGCACCAAATTGGCATGAATGCCTGTCTAGTTTATGCTAACAGCACCAAATTGGCATAAATGCCTGTCTGCTTTATGCCAACACCACCAATCTGCCATCCAATATGGCCACCATTACTAAATATACAAATCTTTAAAATAACTTCTTACAAAATTCTCAGTATAATTTGACAGAATGGATCCTGGCTAATAGGGCAATTATGTTTATACAAATAATGTCAATCTGCTATCAAATATGGCAACAAAAACTGTGATTTGTGTATTTAATGTAGCTTTAAAAATTTTCCAGTTATATTTGCTATGATGTCAGCAGTGTGGCAGTTTATAGTGATGTCTAGCACTGGGGCATCGTGTCCAACCAAGTCACATTATCCTGACACTAGGCTGACAAATCCTAATACTAACCTCTTAATGCCAAGAACCATTTTTGTAAGTCTTTGGTATGACACAGCCAGGGTTTGAACCCACAACATCCTACATTGGAAGCAGATGCTCTAACCACATAGGCCACCAGAATGGTCCACCACCCAATACTAAAAACTGAACACCTTTAAATAACTTCTCAGCAGCCACTCAACAGAATTGAACTGAATATATCCTGGCATGATGGGCTTTCAAGATTTGTACAAATTATGTCTATCTGCAAATAAATATGGCCATGTGTACCAAACAGTGGTCACCTCCCAAACCAGCTTTTGGTGCTTATCCCTCTACCTTTCATACCTGCCTAGTTCTAGTCCCCTGCCACCCTACCCAGCTTCTCTCCAGGCCACCAAAACATTAAATCTATGTTAATTTTCTATTTATTCCATTTATTTTTCTGGTCATTAAATGTAGGATAAAGACTTTTGACTTTGGTTTTTTGGCTGTTAACTCTTCAACTGGTCAATGTATTGCTGAAACCAGCCCTGCATATAGTGCATAAATAGACGTTATGCAAACCAAGCACAATCAGGCTATCCCATGCATCATAACCATACAAAGTCTAAAAATGTGTAATTTTATTACCACACTCCTGGAGACAAGAAAACCAGTTTTGAACTTTAATAAAATGGTGGCTTTCACAAAAAGTATTATACACCTTATCAAGCTTTTATGTTTGTAACAATTATGATCATATCTTATAATGATCATTTTTGCATGATACGTGTGATTTCAGCATCATGTTGACCAATGATAAACTCATCCACATACAAAAATGGTAAATACAAATAATTTTGACAAGCAAATGTAAACTATGAAATTAAATTATTGTGAAATGATACTAAACATTTTCCTTTTTTGGAGTATACATTTCTTGTAGAATATATTAAAAGGAAGATCAGACTGCACAAACATTTTGTTTTCATTTAAGACCCATTTCTGTGGGAACTAGAAAAGAATGATGTGCAATATGTCATGTTTATCTTGTGCTAGACATATATTCTTTAAATTGTGACAACTATGATGTAATAGTGATACAAATGTTACATTTGTTGTAAATAAAGAAATTTAAATACAATGAAGCATTATTTGTTACCTATTTTACACATAAACCACATTCATTCCAAAGGAAAAGCTTTCTGCTCATCATTTTTAGCTTGCCTTCCTAATAGAGTAGAAGGCCTGATTCTACACTACAATATAATGCATGGAGAGAGAGAGTGCTGCAGTCTTAAGTCTTTGTATATACACAATTGTGGTGGCTCACTGTTTGCATGAATGACTCAATACTGAAAGGGTATTGGTTAAATTATACCATGGGAACCAGCTTGTGTCAGTCACAATGGCATGTCATTGGGCAAGGCACTCGACTCCAATTTCCTTTGCACAAAATAACATACTTGTGTTGCTATGCTGTAAAGCACCAAACCAAAATTTCTTTACTTTATCCTTGTACTTCATTAAATGTTTGGCTTTAGCTCATATATTTATAACTTACTAAGTCCATACATTATCCAAGAGTTCTACTTTATTCCCAATGACAAAACTAACCCCAGGTCTCTGTGAGTCACTAAGATTCTTTGGTTTTAAGAAAGTCTTCTTGCAATCCTGGGTACTACACCAGTATTCAGAAACAGGTCACTGTAACCTAAAAGACATCTTTGTTTTTAGATTTACGATACATTGTCCTAAATAAAAATTGTACCAATCTAGGATCCAATATGGCCACAATAGTATACATCTGAAAATCTTGTCACTATTCATCAAATATTGAGTAATTGCACTAACAAAAGGCCCAAGTGCCTCTAATATTGTTCACCTGCTTATATAAGTTGAATCTACTATTTCATCATAGCTCCCTTGCATAGCATCGTAAGAACACAACCTACATCAACTATCTCCAAAACTTTTGATGTGAATTTCATTACTTGACTATATCCTGGTACAAGTTCTTTCTAAGATAAGGCCTAATTTAAAATAATCTTGCGCATAACTGGGGTCATCCATGATACTGATCATAATAAACCCAACAGATTAAAACAAATGTCACCTAAAGAGTGGTAACAAGACAATCTAATGCAATATAACCTCATTAGGGGCCTCCATTTAGCATGATCACAAGGGGGGTTGGAAGTTTTCATATATGTGAGGTGGCGGAGTAAGACCAAGTAACAGTAGAATGTACACACATAACACAAACTATATTATAGCTACTTTTGAGTAAAACCTATGTGCCTCAGCCAACAACAAACTGCCAAGTATTCACACACCCTCCCATTTAAAACCCCTACTTATTTAAAAACCAAAAGCATCAAGGATATGAAAAAATGCACAAAGCTTAGTCATTTCAGTCAACAATTTATAATTTCTAACAACTGTTGCCAGAGGGTCTCAAACACTGTAAACTTAGTTTTTCAAACCAAATGGAATCTTGAGATATAAAATGAGCCCACAGACTTCCCTGTCCTTTTCTGGTTTCCAGAGTATTCCATGCTTTTTTCTCTAGCACAGCATGTAGAATATTTATCTACCAAAGTGCAGATGGAATCTTCCTTTGACCTTTACTGACCACTTTCAAACGATGAGATTAAGAAATGAACATGCTCAGAATATAGCATTTATCATGCATAAACTAACGTCAAATGACACATGAAGAGCACGCATGATAAAAATGATTTTGCAGCTGAGGATATGACTGTCTATCATGCTGTTAAAACCAATATAAACTATCAACAGAGGGGGACAAAGCAAAAGTATACTTACAATTAGAGAAATGGGGAAAAAAAATTGCAATGCAACAAGGGGTAAAGGTAAAAATTATTTTTGTGCATACTAACCCCTTTTCCTTTCAAAACTAACCAGGGATTTGATGACACAAGATCATATTCCAATTTTTATAAGATGTGTGAGCACCTTTTAAAAAACATTTAAGACAAATTTGACCTTGTGAAAAATGTGTTAGTACAATATCATAGTAATCCTATAAGTAATGTAGGATCTGTGCTAATGGATGAAGGACACTAGGCCATCCCACAAGTTTTTCTAGTATAAGTTAAAAACCATTCAACTCTTCTCCAAAATCACTAAGTAATTTAGGATCTGTGCTAATGGATGAAGGACATTAGGCCATCCCACAAGTTTTTCTAGTATAAGTTAAAAACCATTCAACTCTTCTCCAAAATCACTAAGTAATTTAGGATCTGTGCTAATGGATGAAGGACACTAGGCCATCCCACAAGTTTTTCTAGTATAAGTTAAAAACCATTCAACTCTTCTCCAAAATCACTAAGTAATTTAGGATCTGTGCTAATGGATGAAAGACACTAGGCCATCCCACAAGTTTTTCTAGTATAAATTAAAAACCATTCAGCTCTTCTCCAAAATCACTTAAAAGACTTTGATCATATACGAAATGTCAATCCACCATCAAATATGACTGCCCTTGGTCAGATAAACATTTAAATTACTTTTTTGAAACTGCTGCATACAAGTTTACTGGACAGACTGCATTCTGACATAACAGATTGCATTCTGACATAACAGACTGCATTCTGACATAACAGACTGCATTCTGACATAACAGACTGCATTCTGACATAACAGACATTCAAGTTTGTATCAATGATGCCAGTCTGCCATCAAAATTGATCAGCAATAATCAAAACAAAAAATAAACTGAAATGACCTCTTTTCCAAAATTGCTCACCTTTCAAGCTTTTTATAAATAACAATGATATGTCATCAAATACTGTCACCGTTATTAACTGCAGAGAAACCTGTATACAAAGAAAGCACTCAACTGAATTTGACCAAACTTCACTGAAATACAACTACCCTTACTAAAATTACAGCTAAATGAATTCTCAAGACCACTGATTGAAATTTTTGAGGATAAAACTTGGCATGAAGAACCTATTTCCTATTTATACAAATGATGCTGATCCACCATCAAATATGGCCACAATTACTAAATCAGCCTCTCTTAATTTACCAAACTTTTACTGAAAGCTCCTGGTTAAGATGACTTTCAACTATCTTTATACAGCACCAAATAAGGCATCCGTTACTAAACTTACAAAGCCTTTAAATGACTTCACTTCTCATAAGAATTTGGCCATATTTGAAGGAAAGCATCCTGGCATAGAAGTCTTTCAAGTTTACATAAATAATGCCAATTCCCCATCAAATATGGCCACTGTTACTAAACACAGAAAACCATTTAAGTGAATACTTCTTAAAAACTGCTTAACAGAATTTTACCAGACTTTACAGAAAGTCTTCTAGAACAGAGGGCTTTTGAATTTGTTCACATGATGTCAAACAAAAAAGGCAGAAAAATTTTCAATTTTATTTTTAAAACTGCTCAGATGAATTTGACTAACTCCTAAATAGCAGCCTTTCATTATTGAACAAATGAAACTAATGTGCCAACATGTATGGCTGTATAAACTTTAGAAACAGTTGTTGTCATAATAAATGCTATTAATAGCACTGAAACAATTTTCTACAGAAAAGCATACAACTGACCCTGATTTACCAACTGTTCATGAATTTATTAGGTGAGTGATCTCAGGTCAACTTGGGCCTCTTGTTCATTATTTACCTCCAAAATTCATAAAGTGAAAATGCTCATTCAGAGCTAACAATATTCATAGAGATGTAAGGTCCAGCTTTGTACTCTTAAATCCAGATCAACCCCAAACAGATTCCAAAGGAAAAACAAATTGTCAGTTCTTCACACTCTCCCAAAAAGACATGCAATCCATTTTAAAACCAGAACTACCAGTGGAGAAGAGAAAATCTGGGAAATACCTTCTTAAAGTATTAATCTTGTGTGAATGAGTAAAACTGCAAAGGGAAACCAAAATAATGTCTGCAAAGGATAAAGAAATAGCCTTAACTCTAAAATAATTATTAACTCTTGACATCAGAATATAGAACATGTTTATCTCATTTCAATAATTTTTTTGGCAAGCAATCAAGAGCTGGGGCATTAATTCAAGAATTCTCATTAATAGTACACATGTAGCAACAAAATGGGACATAACTCTGGAATCATGCATCATATGACAAAACAGTTATGACAATATCTCCTAAA